AGAGTGGTTTTCAGCTTGTCCTGTGCTAGCTAGACATGGGTCCAAGTGGTTTTGCCTTTGCCCTGCTGCTTTCCCCCCAGGAAACCTGCTTTGTGAAAAACTCGATTGCCATTTGCTCTGATTCAGCACTAAAGCATGGGTTTTCCAGGGGAAAGAAGTGGAGCAAATGGAAGTGTGGATGAACCCTATGACCTTCACAATCCATAGCAGTGCCTAGGGGTGCTCACCTGTTGCCTTATCTAAACTTAACCTTTCCCACACCTCCTTGCCAGCAATGTGACTGACTTAACCATGAAACCAAACCTATCTATTTAACAGCACTGACCTCTAAACACGAACACCTCCTGAATCCAGTTCAGAGTAGGGGGAAAAACCCCTGTTTGCCCAAATGTGGGCAAAAAATATTCTACTCAGATTCATATGTAAAGCTCTCAGCTGAAAGAACATTGTGATGTTGCATCAATGATTTACATGGACAGATCGCTCATATGCCGTTTGATTGTGATCTAAAACTGGAGGAATTTTTCTACCTTTCTGTTTTTCTTCTAAATGCCAGATTGCCACACATTACATTGTTCCAAATGGCTGTCTATTACTAGGCAGCTCTCTTGGATGATCTCTGAAATTGGATTGAGGAGCCAACCACCTTTGGTAGCCATTTTCATGGAAGACGTTACGATGATTTATGTCAACTTATTCTACGGAGCAGCAACCAAGGAAAATGATTCCTGGCACTCAGGGGTCTTTTGGTTTGCAAACTATCCATTTTCATAGCAGATTACTGTTTTATGAGGCTCTTTATCCCCCAAAAAAGCTTTCTGTTAGAAATGATAAATGGCTTTTCTTTCGCTAAACTTGATGTATAAAATACAAAACTCTAATGTGATATGAGCACATATAAGGGGAGAAAGCATATTACCAGCATACCTACGTTTCTTTATGACCCCTATTAACTATTCACAGGCACAGAGTGCATTGAACCAGATTCATTCCATCTTCTTGAAAGAAATGTTGTGAAAGAGAGCAGAACTTAGAGAAACATCGGTAGTTTTACTTTTCACAAAATGGTGCTGTTTCAACCTATCCTATTCAAAATGTCCCATATTTTACTTCATGTTCCTCTTTCACACCCTTTCAACAGACTGGGAAGCTCTGTGTCATGTGTCTTTCCCACACAACTTTGGTAATGTCAGAATTCCCTGCTGACATAGAAGGTCCCCACACAATGCAGCTTTTTCCCACATGAGAATTTATCAGTGGTGGCTGGTGCCTATTGGTCGAATAGAAAGGTGGGACACCAACAGTAGGTGGAGCCAGAACCGAAGAGGGGCAGATCCAACTAATACTAGTTATTTCCCACCCTTCCCGCTGAGTTCTTTAAGGGGCAACATTGAGACTAAGGAGTACAAAGCTGACAGGCAGTGTCACCCTTTGGACTGATTGTAAGAAAGAAGACAGACAGGTGGGGACTGGCTGAGGGCAGACAGAGGTTGGTGGGGCAGTCCCCCATTTGCCCCAGTGGACCAGCCTCCATATAAGGCTGAGAAGGGAAGGAGTGATTTCTCTGATTCCTCCCACACGACTTGGGCTTTTTGACTGCTGGAGCAGTCTTGGAAAGACACCTGCATCATCTTCCATGCTGCTCAGATAATGATAGGTCCACACACTTGTTCTTACAGATTATGTACAGGTTCTAAGGGCAGACATATGAAACTTCTGTGCCATGTGCATATTCCTTAGGATAGTGTCTGCACTATCCTAGTGTTACAGCTGCTGGATAATCTTCCTTTTGTATGGCAGATGAGTAGCTAATGGGCAACGATAGCTGTCTGATGCTTTCTCGATGAAAACAATTCTTAAGAAATAGATGGTGATGTCTCTAGAGAGATTTGAATGGGAGAATGATTGGAACTAAGAAGGTGAGTGACATCACCATCTTCTTCAGTTGATATGGGAAGCTGATGTAAGGAGAGAGTACACAAAAGAACAAAATATGCTTTACAGGATGAGAGAGAAAGGGAGGGAGGTTGAGCCTCCCCCACCTGCAAAGTGTCAGTCCCCAAACTGGAAGATACATAATGAAAAAGAACACACTTCTCTTCAACAACAGAAGGAATGCGAACTGGGCACCATGTTCATGGAACTGGTCACAGATGTGCTAAATGGGTGCAATATTCAGTGCAAAATGAAAGTGCACAAACGAATTATTGGTATTTATCAGCATAATCCTTAAGTATTTGTGGGTCACATTTTGTGGTGGGGAAAAAAGAGGTTTGCACCAGCATTTACTAAGATCTACAGACTTGCCCCATGGGGTGCCTTTGCTTTGAGATAAGGAAAAGGAATAGGCCTAAATATGTAGTTACTGTTAGCGCATTTGTGTGAGCATTGGGAGCATGTATGGCAGAGCTTCTGCTTTGTATGCAGAATGTCCTAGGTCCTGTTGCTGGCATCTTAAAGTAGGGCTGGAAATGTCCCTTACCTGAAACCCTGGAAAGCTGCTCTGAGCGAGATGAATCAATGGCCCAATTCGTTATAATAAGGCAGCTTCTTACAATCTGAATTACTGGTCCAGGTTCTTTGTGAAATACGTATTATGGTATGGCTCACAATGGCAGCACCAAACTAGAGCGTTATTTTCCCGAATGCTGATTCTCTATGCATTTAAAATATATTATCATATGCTATTATATTATCTGTCATTTTCTGCTAAGTTCACTTAGTTTATATATTAGTCTAATTGTATGTTCCTTGCCTTTGTTAGAATTCTGCCTTTCAGTCCAAGGAAAAGGCTCAGACCTTGTCCCTGGACTGCAAAACTATGAAATGCAAGCAATCCCTGAAGAAGAACCCATCTTGAAATGCTAGCACTGCCTTCTGTAGGTGAAACAGCATTGTTTTGCTATCCCTTTTTGATCCACTGCCCCAACATCAGTTGCCGGAACATGTAATCACTGGAGTGAAAAAGAAGAGTTGTGCAATGGGGGTGAAGTACATTAAGAGCTGCAACAAGGCACTTTAGGGAGAAATCTCAAGAGGTAGCACAAGAACCTTCCACACTGCATCAGACAAATCTTTCTCACAGGCTCTGGTATCACTCTGCAGTGTTGCATAAGACTCCAACACCACTCTGTCGAAACTGATGTCCAGACACTTGACATGTTTGCTAGTGCTTGGCTGTTTGGGCGTATTACAAGGCAAACAAGGAAGAACATTTGTAATGAGAAGGATGCCCTTTGAGGAGAGGATGCCTCACAGGGTTTTACAGATATATATAAAAGCAAACATGAAACTCACTTCCCTGTGCTTTCATCTACAAAGAACACAAACCCCCTCTCAACTTGTTGTATCTGAAAAGACAGGTTGGAGGAAGCCTTGGATTTGATCTACTGTCTACAATGTCCCACTCTGTGCAATCATCTTTTGAAGTTTCAAAGCCTTCTGGGGCTTGGATTCTCAGGGATGGCAACAAATCTACATTGCTGCCTGACACCAGTAACATTCCAGAATATCTGAAAAGATACAGAGGAGCAAGCTGTTTGGCTTGCGTATTTATTAACATTCTAACCCTGCCCTTCCTCCCAGAGTTGCCTAAGGTGGAAAACAACAAATACAAAAAATAAAATATACATTTAAAATGCTTTCCCCACCCCATCCAGCATTTATCAGAAATTATCAGCAGCAGGCCACTTGGTATCATGGAGCTGCAGCAACAGACACTCCTGGAAGAGGTATTACTGCTGCAGACCAGGAGGGGTGTGTGTGTGTGTGTGTTTGTGGTGCAGCAAGGTTGGGTCCACAGGGGCACACCAGCAGGAGTGCTGGATTGGCTCTATCTGTCTGCCTGCACAGCCCTGATCTTGCTGCCTCAGCCCTCCTGGTAAAAGCAACAATGGTGTTCCTGCCAGGAGGTATTGCTGCTGTTGCTCTGCCCTGCTAGGCAAACCGCTCCTCATTATCACACAAAGAACATTTTGAGAAGGGAATTCTTTTCCTCCCTAAAACATGCACAGCCCACCTAGCTGCATATATATGAACGCACACACAAAACGCAAGTATTCCCATAAGTCAAGCCAATTTGTTGCACCCAGCCACAATGGATTAACCACACACTGTTCCTTAAGCAGAGCCCATCCTGCAAGCTCATCTCTCCTTTTCTTCGGCTGGCCTAAAAACAACAACCCTGCTTCAGACTTGTGTTTGGAGCCCTGTCTGGAAGCTGCATATAGCCCTATTCATAAAACTGCAGCTAAAAATTGCCAGTGACCAAGAAAACTTTACCCCAAGGAAACAGTTGTCGGCCCACGAGATTGATGATAACTGACAAAGGCATGGGAAACATTCATAACCGCTATACTGATAAATTGTATTAACTGTAGATCAAGGGTAGGCAGACACTTCAGGACTGATGGATCTACTTTGTTTTTGAGAACGCTATGAACCAAGCCAGGGGTAAGACACAGGGCCTTATCCAGTACTGTCTATGCAGGAATGAAATACTCATGCAATTGATTTCACTTTCCTTTCCTGCACACCCTCAAAATCTGCTTCAGGTGATATGGGGACCTTCCAGAGCAGATTTCTGGGTATACATGGGGCTCTATGAAGTGGAGGAGATAAAAGTGAAGGCCTGTTGTACAATCAGAAGGAAAGGTGCCTTTTTGCTGTTGCCATTTGGAGTCAGAAAGCCTTATGACTGCAAATCAGCCAGAGATCTCCCAGTAGCTCCCAATCCACTTTTCACCCATCACTGCTATAGATTAAAAAAACAACAACAAATATTTTGTGTATCTCTTCAGTTGATCTCTCTATCACTGCTTTCTTTTCCCTTGCCGTTTCTCACTGTGTAAATTAAAAATATAACAGGTTTCTTTCCCCTTCTGTGGGTAGCAGTGAAAAGATGTGGTATGCTTTTGTTTTGTTGCTTTTGTGAGAATATTAACATTCAGCATTGCTCACAGGAACATTTCAGCGAATTGTCACATGTGCCATTTACTAACCATTCACCTGAAGAATGTGGGTCTGATACAGTTCTTCATAGCCATAGGCATGACACGTGTAATTGCCCATGTGAATAGTTGTTACCTTGGTGATGTAGAGAGAATCATCTTCTCCAAAATCCTGTAAGTAACAAAAGACAAGGGAGGGGAAAAGACCTATCATTTAGCAATTTTTTAAAAAATGCTGCAAGTGGCTATGCTAACACTTTGCGTGTTTTGACAGTTGCTTAGCTTTCAATGGGGCTTATATTTTCAACATGGTATTTTTACATACGCAATTTGTAAGATGGAATGAATAAGAGATAACCTGCCAATACATAAATGGGAGAAACTAAAACTAACTCATCTGAAAAGCTCCCTAGTTTCTAAAAAAAATAAATGGGACTCTTATATAAAATGATGATAATCCAGCCTGACAATAGAATACTTGACAAATTACAAGGCAAACTGTTTTTGGGATGTGGTTTTAGTTTATGGATACAGTTAATGAACACACTGCCTACTAAATGAAGCACTGAAACAGGCTTTCAATTATTTGCAAGAGCATTGTGTGTCAATGATTTCTGCTATTGTTCAATAAACCTAGTTACGAGTTAAGAAGAAGAAAGGGTATTTCCTTTTTAAAAATCCTTTTGATTTTTAATTGGCTAAAATGTGCTTTATTTTTTGCTTGAAAAAAGGAGAAGAACTCTGCTCTGTACTTCTAGTTCTTATGGTGTAATTTAGAATTATAATTATGTTAGGAAAGCTGAAATATCTGCTAGGTTTCAAAATGTGGCTCTGTTGGCCTTGCGTTCTGCTTATCGGTTTACTGCAAATGATGCTTCATAAGCCTATATATCGAGGAATAAACACAGGCTGCAGCTTTTCTTCTGCTTTCATTAGCATGCAGGATTTTGCTGAAGTGCTGATACTTTTATACAAAACCCAAAAGTACACATTTAAAAACCATACTTAATTAAGTTAAAGAATGATTTTCCCCTCCCTTAATTAGCTTAATGTATGACACATGCTAAATAAAATCCTTTACGTGCAGAGCCTTAGTGCCTTATATACCTCCAATTATGCAATAAGGCTAATAAAACATCAGGCAGAAAATAATCGTGAATGCCAGGGCAGAGAGTTTAACTCTTCAGACCCAATAAAAGACTTCAGAACTCTGAGAACTGAGACATAACAGGTGGGGAACCTGCAGCCCTCCACATGCTGTTAGGCCACACCTCCCATCTTCCCTTACCATTGGGCATGCTAGCTGGGGCTGATGGAAGACGGAGTCCAAAAACATCTAGAGGGCCAAGTAGGAAAGTGCTAAATAGGAAAGAAATCAATATGCAGGTCCAGCAGTGGCGAATGAGGAAGGCGGCAGTGCTGTGTTTACTGGGACGGGGCAGGGTGAGATGGCAGTGAGCTTGAGGAAGCTCTGGATTTGTAACATGCAGGTCCCTTGACCTCACTCTGCCTTGCCCTGCACCATCCATGTCTGGCAAGAGGCAACAGAACCAATGTCAGGAGGTGGTTGTTCTGCCCCTTCGTGTACCACTGCTGCTAAGTATGTAGTCTGCATTTTCAAACATGAGTGGTGTGTTTCCATGGCCCAAGCCACAAGGGCACTCAGTTAGTTCTAGGTTTTAAAAAGCAAACACTGCATGAAGATTGTAAGTTGTTAACTGTTCTCACACATGTGGTACCTCATATTCGAACCAAAGTTAAAGAGGATATGAGAGCAAGCTTCTGAGCTGCACCAGTTCCGAAAGCAGACTTTGATGGAAGTACTAGTGTTATCAGGCATTGTTATGCTTGAAATATTATAGTCTAGATTGAATTTAAATCAATAAAAACTAGATGGCTACTTTTATGAGATGATTTATAAAAGAGCTGAAGAAAAACAAAGCAATAAAAATCCTCTGTCATTCATGTGTTGCTTCCTAATAGACATCTCTGATTAATGTTATGAACACTTGGTTGGTGCTCTAAAATTGTCTTTTTATGGATGATCTATTTTACTCTGATGCATAGTATGAGCAAATACATTTTTCAAAGATGTAAAGTCCTATTTTATTATTTCATTCCCATATACCAAAGAGAAGCTTTTGCCTAAAGACATAATTTATGATGCTTAAACTCTATTTTTGATTCTTTGCAATTAATGCAGGCTATATATTTGCAGTGCTTATAATAAATTATGCCTGCAGAATAAATATCCTCTCTTTGATATGTGAGTATTACTGGGAACTTCCAGTGTGGTACCAAAAGAGAAAGGCTCATATCCAGGAGACCCCAGAAGATTAGGTGCCCACTGAAGAAATGTGTGAAGCCCTACAGAGGAATTTTGGAAGGAAACCCTCTTATCTTTTAGACAGCTGTGGCTCTCCTCCAAAATTCCAAAGACTGACATCTCTCCAGACATTATTAAAATACTTTAAAAAGGATGGTAGACCCTCCCTCACACCCTTATCAAATGGACACAAACTCGTTAACCAAAGGGCAGTGAAAGAATCACTCAGAATCCTTGCCTTATTGCTAATAAATTATATCACACTTGTTATTGACTTCTGAAGTATCATATTCAAAATGGCCCCGCTGTCCACTGTTCACCAAGGTGCGCATGCCAGGTCTACAAGACAGCTCAGGGATTCGCCACCCAAGCCAAAGGCTGCAGAAGGTGAATCAAGACTGCGGCCAACCCCCATAATGCCTCAGACTGCCTGTCTACTAAATTCTTAAATTCTCTTACCATCCTGCTCTGAGTCCAAAGCAGACCAAGTAAGTACATACATCAAATCAAAGGATCCTACAGTGGGTGAAGAAGGAATTCCATGGGTCAATCAGGCACTCCCCTAAAAATTATTACTCAGGCCTAGCAAAAAAACTAGAAAGAGTGGGTGCTGCAAAATAGAAGGTTAAGGGCTGGACGGCAGGCTTAAATAGCAGCCTGATCGTTCTCCTCCTGCCCAAGTAATTCCCAAGGAAGAGACCAATTTCCCTCATCTCCCAAGAAGGCATGTGTGGCAAATTCATCCCTGCTAAAAAGCAGGCGTGGCATTGTGAAATTGCTCATGGCTTTAACCGAATGTTTCCTTTCAGTGACATATTCACATAGCAGCAAACGGCTTCCTTCTTGGTCTGCCTCACTTTCCCCCCTTTGAAATAAAAGTCTGTATCCTCTAGTGGGTTTCTTTTACATTTTACAAATACCCATGGAAAAGAATATTGCTTAAATGATCCCAGTACACTTTCAAGCTTTGTTAGTTTAAAAACCAGCATTCTGGATTGATCTCGGCTTGCTTTTATATTCAATAATCCTTTAAAAGCCACAAAGGTGCACAGACAATTTAAAAAACAAAACAATGTCTGGCCAACTGTCAGGTACCTTTTCTGTAACTCCTTTCTAGAACTGCTCCAATGTTTTAGTTTATTATCAGAACTATTTTCTATTCATTCACCACCCTTTCTTTCTTTTACATTTCATTTCATTATTTCATTATTTATTTTTGCAGAGCTGAACTTGCAGAAATTTGGCAGGTGAGACTTCTCCTCATTGCACAATTGTTAATGACACCCAGCTCTGGAATCATGGAAACCCAACAGAATGATGTGGAACCGACTGCATGAGTTACTCTTACACAGTAGGTTTTTCCGCCTCTGCTGATGTCCCCATTGGATGTGGACTGCATTTGCAGGAACCCCTTCCTTTTTGTCTCAGAGGGTTTGTTGTGCTTCATGATAGGGCTGGCAGGTCCTGCTATGGGTGTGGTGGTAGCTGTCCGTGGGGTATATACCCACTGGCTCATTTTCCTTTGGCCTCCTCCTAACATCAGCACCAGCACTTTATAAATACCTGCTTAAAGGGTTACATGTGAGGCCTTGTCGTATTAGTTTGATGATCAAGTGCTTCTATTGCCAGTAATTACCAACAGCTGTCAAAAGGTGGATGTCAATCTCCGTTTAATGATATCGGCTTAGCTTTTTAACCCGTCAGAATTAATGTGATACGAAGTATCTCACACAAACGAAGAAGAACAAGGTAATCGGTTTTGTTGGGTGGCAAGATCTGTGTCACAGATAAGGTGTGATCATTTTCTCGTATTGTCATAGACAATCTTACAGATTATACACTCAGAAAACTGTTCTTTTTTTCTTAAAGCGGGGAGAAGGAAAATGATGCCGAAGGAATAATATTTTAAAGAACACTACCACAAAGGTTAAAATATCACAAAAGAACCCCATTGAACCCTCCCTCCCAACCTCATTTCATGAACTCAATATACAGACAATTATACTTAAGACAGAACTTTTGCCAACCTTTCAAATTGGGAAAGAGAGGGAGAAACCTTGTTTTTCAGGTGAGTATCACAATTTAATTATGAACAATGAAAATACTAGCTGTTCCAACTTTTGATAATAGGTTGAAGACAATTGCTAATAAGATGTATGCTGGGTGTGAACAGTAATAGAAACAGATTATCCATCAGGAGTCACACCCTGGATGCTAATCTTAAAATAAGGTATTGATGGGTGTAATGGAAGCACCAAAGAGAATGGGAGATTTTCCTTCCTCCATCCCAGTTCCCTTAAGGGGTTGGCTTCATTCATTCAAGGTACCGTATTTTTCGCCCCATAGGACGCACACACATTTCCCCTTCATTTTTGGAGGGGGGAAAGTGCGTCCTATAGGGCGAAAAATACGGTACCTTGCTGGATATGGAGTGATAGGTTGTCAGGTCAATGTCTCAATTACCCAAACTATGCTCTGCTTTTCGTCACAAATGCTGCCACCCCCAAAACCTTTATTTTGACTTTTGATGGGCAATAAAAGGGCAGGATGATTCTCCCCCAGAAGCTGCTTCTGACCCCTAACATTACAACCACTGGCTATAACACTGGACATCCCCCAAAATACAGCTGACAAAAGTTATGCACAGCCTCATATGATTTCCTTCAGTGCTAGAACTCTGGCTCATATTTATTATTGTTGTTGTTGGTGGTGGTGTTAATTGCACTCAACAGAGCACCTGTTTTATTTAATGGAGAAGGACTTACAAATGATAGCTTTTACCAGTTTGGTTCCGAAAATATTGCTTATTCTTCACAATATCAGAAACATTATTGTAATGATGCTCACAGGATTGTAAAACACAAACCACCCTAGCATCTAATGAGATCTGTCTCTTGCAAAATCTCCAGCGTCTATCACTTTGAAAATTACTTTCTCCATACTAATCAAATTGTTCCTAATCTTAATTCTTACAATAGACTCACGAGTGATTAATGTAAACACAACCAATAAACATCTAAATTAGTTATGGACACCTAAATCATTTTCTTTGGCCCTCTTAATAATTCATTTCCAGAGACAACCTGGGAATGTACGTTTCATTAGCATTGTTTGCTCCATGCTGATCAATTCTGTAATTTAAGGAAAGCAAATATGTAGATTTCTTCCCCTCAGGTGAAACTTCCAAATAGTTTCTAGGAAAAACATAAGAGGCATGGAACTTCTCAGGGAGATATCTATTCTGGGAGGGTTTTGCACTCCCTCTGAAGGAATGAGCTATAAAGCTAAATCATGTGTGGGGTGGCCTAGCCATCACTCAGCAGATTGTTTTATTCCCGGGTCCTTTGGGTTCAAGGTAACATGCCCACACTGTATCTAGTCTGCATCGTGAGGTCTCTGCACCATATCCAGTCTGTTGTTTTGGGCCTATCCTATCTGTTTTCATGAAACAATATGGATGTTATTTTGCTTTTGGTATGTGAGGTACAATTTTGGGTAAACTGGAGTTGAGGAAGCTACTGAGCTTCTTTGGTTTTCAAACTTTAAACTTTCAGGGAAGTTTTTCCATATTGACTCTTCTGCCAGCAAGAAGCAGAGGGCTTTGAAGTTCTTTAAGATGGGTGCCAAGCACATTTGAGTGCCCTTGCCAGGCCTCTTCAACCTTACAGCTGCCCTGAAGGAGCAAAGAGTGTGCCCTACAACAAATCCCAGTAGGTGATCGCAGTAGTAGTGAGCAAGGTGCCTTTTAGGGAAGCTTGTCTGCTATTAACTCTTAATTCTACTGAGAAATTCCAGATAAGTTTCAAAGGAATCCCAGGATTCTGAAGAGTACAAATTGAAAATCATTTTCTACTGCGTTATTTTAACATTTATTAAGCATTTAACTTTAAAAGGTTGCATATTTGACATCAGGTTCTTGGCCTAGGCAGTAAAGTCCTGCAGTGTTAATGTCCACTGTTAGCATCTTGGATCTGGCAGAGAGAACACCCTTTGCACGCTTGACATATAAAGCTGCTTAACACTCTATGAAGCAATGGCGGTTGCTGCGGTGTTCCCCACAGTGAAAATCTTAAAGGTGAAGGGTAGATGCATATTCCTAAAAGGTCAGGGAAGCCCAGCAGATGTCCACTCTATGCTTCTGCAAGTGCCCTTCACAATTCACATGAGAAAACACCAGGATAGCTGTGGCAAATGAATTTATGTGTGAAGTATCTTCTATGTTTGACATTTACTAGGTTTATTAAAAAAAAATTCTCTTTGATCCTTATCAGAACTCCATGAAGTAGGTTAGGTTAAGAGAGAGAATTGCCCAAAGCCAGTCAGCTTCCTTTACATCCCTCAGGTTGGGTCTCCTGTCCCAAGTCCAATACTATTCTGGCACCCTGAGCCACTGATTTTCCTGCTTTAACTTTGAACATGTATTCCTTACAAGTACCTCCAGCCATACTGTATCTGTCACAGGTAGTGGTACACACAAGCAACGGTAATAAACAAATTGCATGCTGTAGTTTGTTAACTCCTGGGAGCATGGCATTGAAGGGGAACTATTGATTTTTCATCAAAGGTGTGGGAAGATAAGCTATAAACTAGTTTCTAAGAACATTTGCCTCCCTGCATTAAATTCCCTGATGTGTCCTATGCAACCCCCCCCCCCAAAGGCAATTGCTTCCTTGCAGATGACTTTAAATCAAATCTCGAGACAGGAAATAACTTTCAGTATCTGTGAGAACAGTGGGGGAGAATGATAGGTGATGAAAACTGTATTTTGGGAGTAATGACTAAATGTGGATTTGTGGTAAGTTGTCCTGTGCAATGAATAGCAAAGGGTAATCTTATTGATATAATGATCAGCCAGCTAGGCTGCATTGGGCAAAATTACAGGCATAGTTATTCCGAGTTCTCAAGCGTACTTGCCATGGACAAATCCATCCACCTGAGTTTCTGTATATGAAGAAGGGCATTCACAGCAGTTTCAACCATGGGTGTAAGAATTAACATCAGAAAGACGGTAACCACAACTAGTGGTTTCTTTGTGGCAGCACTCATGAGTACAGAGCACAGTCATCTCTTTTCTTGTTGCCCACGGCTGCCATTTTGTTCAGAAACTCATTTTTTTTTAAAAAAAACAAAACACAAAACAAGATATGACTATTGGCACTTCACTTCCTCCACAAAAAGAGCACAGGCAATTTTAAAAGGGCCTCTGTAGTAGGCTGTAGATGTGTTGTACAATTCCGTGTTGTACAAACGCTGCCCCTAGTATACTGCATAGTATAATATTTAAGCTACTGGAAGCCTTTTAGGGAAGTGAAAACTGTTGTAAATCAACATCTCTACAAGGCAGGGCATTACCAGGATATTGATCACTTAATGCAATACAAACCATGTCATCTATTCCCCCCACTCCACCCCATATGCGGTATTGACAATTGAAGGATAAATGATAATTAGAAATCATTATTCTCATATTTGAAGCTCCTAACTTTTGTGAGTAAATGGAACTAGCTTCTTTGAAATGCATCCCAAGCAGCAGGAGTATTCATTACTATTAAACATTATTATTTTTTCAATCTAGGCAATCTGGAGTGTTTTCCTGACAATCTGGCATAAATAGACTTAATTACATGTGCCACCAGGACAACATTTTTGTAAGAAAGTTGTGCGATGAAACTGTTAAGGTCTTGGCTGATAAAGGAAATTATTGTGCTGGTTATGAAAACTTCTCATTAAATGAACAGGAAAAAATAATAAGTTTTAGTGTCAATCAAAACATTGCATAAAGGAAACAGAAAAATAGAGCAAGGATGTTTTAGTCTCCTGTTTTTAATTTATGTGGACATTCAGGGTGAGCTACTCCTTTGTTGTCATATGCTATCAGTTTCTGTTTTGAAACCTTATGGGGTCTTGTTGATATCAGATTCTGTGCTGCAATCCGGGTTCTTATTTTGATATCATTTTCTGGATCGCTGTTAGCTTTTAGAAGAACTATAGCTTAATTGAAATACAATATGTGGATTTCTACACACACCCAAGTGCCTGAAAATTCTCCAAGCCTGTAAGTTATTTTGACTGTGCCAGAAGCAGGCAGGGTTTCCTTGAAGTTAAAAGGTACAATTAATCTCCTGTTGCACTTCCAATTAACTAAATTGCTAACCTTATTGTGAAAAGTAGAAATGCAATTGAGTTGCTGCTTGAGGCATGCTAAAAGGGTGGGGAATGAAGTAATTTAATTAACTGACTTCAAGTACATTAAGAAGTATAGTGCCTTTCCCTCCCTCCCTTTCCCCCTCAGTACCTTTAAATAGATCATTGAATAATGCAGATTTTTTTTTTTTTACCACAAGAGAGATAATGCACTGTGTTCAATTTTCAAATTGTCTAACGAAACCTTGGTCCTACCAGAGCATAATGATTTGGAAGAGTTAATGCCAAGAAAACTACCCCTTTCTGACTGGCAAATATCCCAAATGTGCCATAAATGCTCACAGACGTCATTCCAAAATGTTCTGGACTGGAATGCCAAACAGAAGCACTCCACACTGCAACACTTTGTTGAAGACCCCAATTGGTTATATCTGTCGGCGAATACTTACATTAATATCTTCCAGATCTAAAAAGTTCAACACAACCCCGTTGCGTTTCCAGATGATTGGAGGCCGCAGAGGTCCATGGATAGCACAGTTCAATACAGTGCTCAGCCCAACAGTTACTGTGGTAACGCTGACCTTCTGCTCCTCAGAAAGTGTGAGTTGGACCACCTCTGTGAAAGTAATGGAACAAAAGTAATTATTATTATTATTATCCATGAAATAAATCTGGCCTTTTCACTGATTGATTGGGGAGGTTTCAGCAATAGCAAAGGTATGAACTGCTAAAAAGGTCAACGTTAGAACAACAACATGAAATGGGATATACCTCAATAAACCTAGATTACAATGTAATTCTTTATTTCATGCTTCCTTGGTTGTCAGACAGCCTTCCAGCTATGTAGGGGAAAAAAGACAGTATTGTCTTCCATTCTCATTTGTACCCTGCAGAAATCGAATTCAGATTAAATAGACTGTAGAGCAAACTATAATAATATTTACATCTCCTTCCTCAAACTGACAAGCATGAATAAAAGCAGAGTTCTGAAGTTTCTAATATGTACTCCTAAAACCACCTGTGGAATGTCCATGCTAGTACCTTTTCTAGGATCTGAGAGATACGTAATGTACACATGACCTTACACATCTGAAATCACCTTGTGTAGGTACATCATGGGACGCGGGTGGCGCTGGGGGTTAAACCACAGAGCCTAGGACTTGCCGATCAGAAGGTTGGCAGTTCGAATCCCCACGACGGGGTGAGCTCCCGTTGCTCTGTCCCTGCTCCTGCCAACCTAGCAGTTCAAAAGCACATCAAAGTGCAAGTAGATAAATAGGTACCGCTCTGGCGGGAAGGTAAACAGCGTTTCCGTGCGCTGCTCTGGTTCGCCAGAAGTGGCTTAGTCATGCTGGCCACATGACCCGGAAGCTGTACGCCGGCTCCCTCGGCCAATAAAGCGAGATGAGCGTCGCGACCCCAGAGTCGGCCACGACTGGACCTAATGGTCAGGGGTCCCTTTAGGTCCCTTTAGTACATCATAGTATGGTGTTTTCCCTCCTCCTGTAGGAAAGGGGATACTTTTGCAAGAGAAGCAGCAATATATATTCTGCCCTGGTCGATACCGCCTGGCAGCGGATCATCAAGGTTTCAGAGTGGAGTCTTTCCCAGCCACAACTGGAGATGCTGAGAGCTGATCCTGGTTCTTATTGGCATGCAAAGCATGTGCTCTGCTACTCAGCCATGGTCCTTCAGTGAGGCTTAGATTCTGTACAATTATCTTTGTACAGATTTTGATACCATACAGGAAAACTAAGATTGCCAACATTCTAACAGAAGGTTTCCTAATGCTCCATGGAATGTAGAAAATTAAACTGGAGAAGTTCCCTCCACCAAGCATGGAGATGCAAAGATAGAAGGAGGTTACATTTTAACCTGAAAATGAGCTGCTATGAAGGCAGAGGAGACCTGCCAGGAAAAGGTGGCAACTTTGTGTGGGATACTAAGTGGAATGTCATCCAAATTCCCTGTTAGTGGTACCTCGGGTTACAGACACTTCAGGTTACATACGCTTCAGGTTACAGACTCCGCTAACCCAGAAATAGTACCTCAGGTTAAGAACTTTGCTTCAGGATGAGAACAGAAATCGTGTGGCGACAGAGGGAGGCCCCATTAGCTAAAGTGGTACCTCAGGTTAAGAACAGTTTCAGGTTAAGAATGGACCTCCAGAATGAATTAAGTTCTTAACCCGAGGTACCACTGTACTTAGAGGAAACGAATTTGCTCTTCTTTCTTCAGCAGGGGGCAGGGAACCATGTTAAATCGCTTTGTGTGAATTGATTCTTAGCGTTCAAAATTTTTCTCCTTCCCTTAACATTACATTTTGATTAACACCTGCCCAGTGATAATAACACCAATCAGGATCCCGACATCTGTTCATTTGCCTGCTCAAAAAACAATGGCAGCATTGTGATTTGCACAGCCAGCTGTTATAGAATATGACAACAAGCACTTTGTTGGGTGTGCCCAGCTTTGCAGACAGGTAAGACACTTGATGGTGGAATTACTGTCAGTTGCAGAGAGCTGTTATTAAGCATTTCAACTAGAGAGAGGGAGGCGGGGCTGAGCAATCAAAATGCTTTGTCAAAACTGTAACGTTTACAGTTTTACCATTCCCTGGTGCATCTTCTTGGCTCAGCATCTGAGGCACTGGCAAAAAAAAGGAAGGCCTTGGAGCTGCACCACACATTCAAAAAATCCTCCAAACTGAGCTTTCAAGTTAATAGTCCATTGAGATTGTTGCGTCGTTGTTGTTTTTCAATGGAGCAGTGGATTCAACACCTCTTTTGGTGCTATGCTGGTCCAATCTATATCTGCCCGACAAACATGACAGTAAGTGCATTGATTCCAGGAGGCATGACATCGCTGGAATTCATGTTAACATTGTGCCTGTAGATTTCTGTTGTTTTGCTGACTGCTGGATAGATTTTGCAACAGCCACGAGGAAATCAGTAAAACAAGGTGCCCCCTTTTTGGTAAAAGAAAAAAGAGAAATAATAAAGCTTGACATCACTGAAATAAAAGCTTGATGGGAACTTCCAGGACCCTCGTTGTGATGAAGTAACAAGAGTAATCAGACCTGGGATTGAGCAGTTTCCCAACAAGGCTCACATTTTTCTAGAGGCAATATTTTTGCCACATGGAAAGATTTAAGTACTTTTTCTCACTTTAACAGCTTTAAGAAAAGCTGTTAAAGTGGCTAAACCAAGCAGGAAACACAGGCTTTAAGTAAGCAGTGGGCTAAAAAATCATTAAATGCGTACACATGCGGCAGGGCTACACATACAGAGTTTTGCAACAACACAGTCCTTAGGTTCAGACAGCCTTGGATTTGTAGGGAAGGCAACAGCAAGGATACTACCTGGTTCCTCTTTATAAGTGTCAAGGCTGATTTGCCTTTAAGAGAAACTTTGATTAGGAATTGAATCACTGGGCAATCTGATCACATACCCTTTGGTGCCTCACAGTTACTTCTCTTTATTTATGTCCAGATAAATTAAGTAGCCACAATGAAGTACAGATAAGGGCATCTGACATATCCTAGAGGTCCTTTAGGGGCAAAGTACCTTGAGCAGCGCTCCAGATGATACAAGAAAAGATAGGTCAAATTATTGACCCTCTCTGTTGCAAATGGTAGTGGCATGTTGTTAGCTTCTCGATGCATTCACCTTTTCACATCATGGAAAGGGCTTCTTATTGCTAAGGTTTTATAGGTTGGGCGCATTTAACAGAACACACTCAAATAGAAATTACAGTGAGCTGATGATATCAACAAATTTAGCCAAGTTGGAAAAGCATTCCTGGACACATAAAAGGTTCTCAGACTTCATTAGGGGTGATGGTGTCACCATGTAATTAACCAAAATGGATAAATAAATACATCACCTGAGATTGATATTTTTTTTTAAAAAAATACAATTTCTTCAGTGAGAAGTGTCAGGATGTTTTCTTTCAGTTATGATGTCTTATGCTTTAGAGCTATTATTTCTAATGATCACAGATGACTAAGAGATCATTTTGCTTGGTGAAGGAAAAGTACTCTGCACACACCGAAACCCTCCTCTGTTTTCATTAAGTCTCGTTATGGAGAGGCACTGAAATGCTACCACTTGGGGTTTGTGAGGGGAGGGAGCCCTGATTCAGAGTAAGTTCTGAAATTCAAAAATGTAAATTCCACTTAATAGGTCAGAAGCTGGGAGCCTCAGACCTGGGGGCTGAATGCAGCCTTCCAGGTGCTTCTATCCAGGCCTTGGAACTCTCCCCAGCCTGCACCTGTTTTCCTAGGCCACACCTCTCACCAGCCCTCTCTGAACCCTCTTCAAATGCTTTTGCCTAGTTTGAATGTGCCCTTGAAATGTTTGACTGGAATAAAAAAAAAAAAGATCTGTGGTGTGTGTGTGTGTGTGTGTGTGTGTCTATGCAAAAACCTTCAATACAGTGGTACCTCAGGTACCAAGTCAGGTTACAGACTCCGCCAACCCAGAAATAGTGCTTCAGGTTAAGAACTTTGCTTCAGGATGAGAACAGAAATCGTGCTCTGGGGGCACAGCGGCAGCAGGAGGCCCCATTGGCTAAAGTGGTGCTTCAGGTTAAGAACAGTTTCAGGTTAAGTACGGACCTCCGGAACGAATTAAGTACTTAACCTGAGGTACCACTGTATTTCTCTAGTCTACTGTACAAAAGTAGAAATGACATCCATTGCTCTATCCACTTTTTTTCCCTTTCTTTTTTTTGCTTGTGGGCCCAAAGACATGCAGCCCTCAGAAGTTTGCCTGGGGAAAGTGCCCCTTGGGCTGAACAATTGTCCTGTACTAGATGATACTCAAATTTCTTGATACTCAAATATCTTGTCTTCCATGGCACCTGAGCATGAGTCACAGGGCAGAGGTTATCAAGTGACGCTTTGTCTGGGTCTTATTACATGACAGAGTATGACCTCAGTTGCCAGGCCACATGCACATTTGACTCTGCAGAGGGCATTCTGTGAAGAGGTCCATGTCAATATATTTGTTGTGCTTTCTGCAGACATTACTGAGCAAGTAAAACAAGAATTGTGCATGCCCTTGGAGCAAGCCATTCAGAAACAAGGTCACATTTACTGAAAACAAGTACCTTTCATTAATGGACTCTAAAGTGGAGGGCACCGGAGGGCAGATTTTCATAGTGCACTAATAGATATATGACTCTATGCAAAATGTTGCCCTGGAAGCCAGTGTTCCCTCTGTAAATTGAGATAAATTCTGTATCATTTGGATTGCTGGTCAAAATTGCCCCTCTGCACCTTCTATCTTTAGTCAACGATATTACGGCTTGATAATTGCAGCTTCTGACATCCTGTTGTGATCCTTTCTTCAGTTTGTGCTGTCATATGCATCACTGGTTATATGTGCAACAAAAGTAGGCATTTGGTGCCCAAACATACTTTTTAATGAAATCACTGCTATATTTGGAATGTACTGGATAGGAAAAAGAACTAGTAATTAAAATAACATGTAACGTTTAGTGGCTTTAATGAGGGTTGCTTTCTTTTGAAGAGGTATAATAAAGTAAGGGTACACTCATTTGATTTTATGTCTTTTAATAAGGTTTCCTTAATCCTGTTTCTCACAATGACTT